GGCTATACACCTCTACTGCATACAACACACCCAGGTATTTCTTTTTTTGCTTCTGTTCACACCTACTATTCTGCTTATCTTTTTTGCATCTCCATTCCATTTCTCTATCGAGGTTCCCCCAATTTTCTAATACCTTTAGACAAAACTCCCCCTTTAATCCTCTGGTCGGCTCCCCTTACAGGGGGGGGAGGGGGGGGGGAGTGGTTCAGGGAGGTTGGACTGCCTCACCCGCTACCCAAGGGAGGCGGTGGCCCTGGCGAAGAGCACGCTCTTCGGGGCTCCAAACATTTCGAACGGATAGGCTACCACACAAACACACACACAACAACAACAACAACAGCAATAACAACAACAACAGAACCCTAAGCTGAGACTTACTCTTATTTCTCTAATTGACTGCCTTTATTTTTCAGTTTGTTTTTAAACCAAAGGCTACAGAAATGCATTAGCCGTCTAGAGAAGAAATCATCTAAGAACGAAGGAATTCGCTTTCTTAATCACTATCTAAAGTGTGGGTGGTTGGTGAGTGCTCTGGTATGTTTTGCTCCTTCTCTCCTATCCAACATCTGTCGTTCTGCAATATCAAACTTTCTTTAACTTGAACTGCAAGCAGATTTCAGTTTTGTAGGCGCCGTCGGTACAATCCTACGTATCGATGATATCCACAGACATGTGATCAGAACAAAGTAAAGGCACCTACACCCTGGCCAGTACCTTGCTGTTTTCATTGATAATAATAATAATAATAATAATAATAATAATAATAATAATAATAATAATAATAATAATAATAATAATAATAATAATAATAATAATAATAATAATAATAATAATAATAATAGTAGTAATAATAATAGATAGATAGATAGATAGATAGATAGATAGATAGATAGATAGATAGATAGATAGATAGATAGATAGATAGATAGATAGATAGATAGATAGATAGATAGATAGATAGATAGAATTTGTATAGCGCAAACCCCGCCCAACAGCAAACTATATGCGCTTCACAATCTATACTATTACCCCAGCAGACCTGAGAACATTCTGAAACAACTCAACTTTCTGGGAAGTATACAGTGCAAGCAGCCATTTACAGGCGGTAAAACACTAACATACTGACAAGATCTTTTGCTGTCTATGGCCGGGTACCCATTCCCACCTGGGTGAAGTGAGGAAAATTCGTGTAAGGTGCCTTTCCCAAGGACACAACGTCGGGCCCGTGGCTCGAACCCCCGAACCCGCAACCTCAGGATTACGAGTCCGGTAGCCTAACCACTAGGGGTGGTTGGCGGGTGCTCTGGTGTGGTTTGCTTCTTCTTTCCTATGAAACATCTATCGCCTTTATCTCCCCTTCTTCTTTTTTATCTTTGTAACTCTCTTGTAACACCTCTAATCTTCTGGCGCTCATATGACCTTATGCAGTTGCGAGCGCCGTAAAACCTCTACTAAAACTAAAAACTAACCACTAGACTACCGACGCCATTAACATGTCCACTCTCTACACGGCGGCTGGCAGTGTTCAAAAGGAGAC